AATACTTGATAATAATTAATAAATAGAGCTTACACTCAGCTGGCTTATGGAGCTTCCAGCTCCAGTCTGGCGGATACATCGCGATAAATCCGTTGTGCTTTGAGCGGAACTCTCCAGCCAACTGTGCCATAAACTGTGGCTAGTTTTCATGAAATGGTCGCATACTTTCTGCCATTCAGTGCTGACGTGTGCGAACTCGCAGCATTGTCGGAAATTCGCGCACAAGCTGCAACAGGCCTGCAGGAATCGCGCACAAAAGAGCGATTTTGCCACCAGATCTGCGCCAGTTTCCGCAGATAGACGGCCATTGACATAGTCAATGATTCTATGTTAAGAAGATTAAGATTGTCGTTTAGCTAGCACAAGTGTTCGATTGAAGCTCACCTCAAAGAGTGCTGAGTGCACTCGTCCATCAGGTAGTTCCGCAGCTCCTCCTGGTCGACGAATTTTCGCTTAAATTTGTAGTCGTTCGGCAAGTACCTCATTCCAGGCTGAGGGCTGAACTCCTGCCCTGATAAGTACTGGGAGATATCCTCCAACAGCTCCAAAAATCGCTTGTCCAGCTCAGCGCACAGATTTACCACTGAACTGGAAAACCCTCTGGCTTTCATTGTGAGGCCAGCGTGATCGTTTTGAAACTTGCTCACGTCCTCACTTTCCTCTTTCCACGCGTACCATCGCAAATCCAGCTCTGTTTGCTCGACGTATTTAAGCGAAGCGTCAATATCAGCTTGAATCGCCACCATACTGTTCTGGATGATTGTGGAAATTAAGCCCCGTGCTCTGGCGGTTAGGAGCTTTTGAAAGAAGTAGTACCAGACATCAAAATGGTCGGGGAGCTGCAGCTCGCCACACACTTTGCCCCAAGAGCTGCAAAGCTCTATACGATTGAGTTAGGGAGAGTTCAAAAGCCCCCTAGGCCTTACCAATTTTGAGGGACTCCTCCCGCACCAAATACAAGCCCTTGACAGTGGTAAGCAGCTGTAAGCTCTTCTCCAGTCCACTCTGAACTATTTTCTGGGTGGTTTCCAGCCAGTTGTGGATGATTGTCGCGTCAATGGCCTCACTGTTTGGCTTCCCCGAGTCTGTTAGCTTCAACTTCGGCCTTAAAGCAAATTAAACTTAAAAAAGGCTCCGGTTGGGTTGCTCAAGCCGCTGCAGCTTTACCTGAATTGCTTGATAATCTCCGGAACATACGCTATCAAAGGAGTGGGTGGCAATTCTAGCTTGGAAAGAGTGGCTGGCGCGCTTGGGCCGACAATACTATCCAGTTGTTTCCACAATAAGCCGCTTTTACTGTCGTTGTCTGGACATTGAGGGCTTTTAGCCTGCGCTCGAAAGCTCGCGGTTTCTTTGAACTTACACACAAAGCAATCATGGAGCAGAAGAACTGTGGTAATAAGACATTTGACCATAGCAGCAATTTGAAATCGCACGCTCGAATACTGGCTGTTAATGACGGTTTGCAGGGCGGTTTTTCGGTGTTCGATGGAAATATTCAAAAGCTGGTCGTTCGTTTGGTTCTCTATGAGCATCAGGGCGTTAAGGTTTTGACTGGTTTCCTAAAAGCCACCGTTTGGAATTAGGAAATTAATCAATGGTCGCAAAGTACCTCCGCATCGATTTCGACAGATTCCAATTTTTGGGTCACTTTTTCGAATATTTTCGCCCGAAGTGTGACTAGATTCAGCTTCAAGTGCCCCAAAAGCGGCAGTTTGCCAAGGTATTCCTTTTTAGTGAAGTTCAGCCCTAAAAAGATGCTATTTTAGGCCAGAATTGCCATAAGTTAGTTAATTTACCCATGTAGATGTGCTGAGCAAGCAGGTAGTACTGGGTAGCTTCTAGATTGCGCCCACCATCTAAAGCAACCCATATTTGCTCATTGAGAAATATGGCCAGCCTGACTTGGATCAGTAGCACTCTTTCTTCGTTTGATTGCCTGAAGAATGTTAATTCAGCTTTGTGTGCTTGTTAGCTATTAAACCTCAATTTTTATGATTTACTTTTGGAATGCCTGGTCGACTTCAGCAGTGCTTTCATTAGAATCCTGAGTTTCCATGAGCATTTCGCAGGTTTTGGTGATTTCTTCTATACTGCTCACGATGTCCTCCGAGATGGTTTTCATGGATTTTATTGCATCGGAGGCGGCCAAGATATCCTTGTACCGGTCACTGCAATGTTCATGTAGAAACTAGGGCTGTTTGGAGGTGAAATGGGGCCGGAAAGAGGCGCTTTACTTACCCGACCATTGAGCGAAGGTCGTTACGTTTTCGCTCGATTTCTCCATCAAGCAGCTTTTCAATTTCGACAATTTCATCAACACTTCGTTCCTCAAACAATTTAACAACGTCCAAATGCGTTAATTCACTTCGGTTCATGGTAAATATTTCATTTCCAGAATAGTTAACCTAAAATGGGGCTGTAAACGTCAACAAAACCTCGTAAGCAATTAAATGCGGTTGGAAATGCGGCAACGCTGCCAGAGGCCTAATGAATTAACGGTTCTTGTTTTTGAAACATGAAGAAATATATCAAGTTTTTCGTACCATAGCCGTGGCTTTCAAAAGTGTGAAGTAAAAAAAATGAGCGTCCTGCAGGAAGGGAATAGAGTAAAAGGACAATGAATGAATAAAATGTTTATTTCAATTTATTATAATGTATTTATTCACTGAAATTCAAACAAACAAACATAGGTACTTATTGTGTTGCAGTAATTAAAGTCAAATAGTGTTTAAAAACAAACACATCTAAATATGGCATACATCAGTTTATAACGGAGAGGAAAATGCAAAATTAGTACCATTAAAACTATATAGAATTTCGTAATCCTAGACAAGATTTATCTTACAATCTACTTAGTCATAATGATACCTAATCACTCGTTGCTAGCACGAGTAGCTAAGTTGTAGCTTTTTCCAACGAAACCTCGACTCCAAACCGAATTGGAAGTGCACAGATTTGCGTTAAAAGCTGTTGTTTTTTAAGACACGCGGTGTGAATATGTGAAAAATCCAATACAAATCGTAACGTGCAAAGGGAACGAAAACGTTGGTGCTAATCTAAACCTACCTACGATATTCTTTGTTTATTTATTTATATTTATATATACCTATATATTTAACAAATGCTTAATTCTTACATAGCTTGAAAGCGCTTGAGATTTGATTGCGTAAGCACAAAAATAAAATTATCCTATAAGTCTCTATATAACCACCAAAAAATGCAATTCTTCAACAGAAATGTTAATAAAAACAAAACTAAATAATCAACAATAATAAATAAACCTAATTTTGATTTCTACAGAAAAAACTTAAATACTTTTAGTAGTTTTTTGGTTTGATTTTGCCGTTATCCACTAGAGTCGCAAATAAATTACTAATTACAAACTGACCAATATCCGAATATATCATAATGTACAATGCTCTTAACTACGCGCTACACTATTAGAGGAGGAAGATAGGAGTGCATTAATACCTATACATATATAGATATAAACTCTAAAATATAAATATATTGCTTTCTTAGATAGTCTGATATGTTCCGATTAGTGTAGAAAAGACATTCTGCTTATAGTTAAAAGGCAATCAGCACCCACTATACATTAGACTTAACATGTTCGTTGTCGGAAACAGCGAACGAATGTCAGTGTTTAAACATGTTTTTTTTGGTATACCTAGACCGTATCATTGTTTCAATGATATGTACAAAATTATATCAAAACGCATAAATTAAAATAGTCTAAATCTAATATAAGTATGGAGAAGGGCCTAGAAGGGTGCGGCGCACAAACAATTGCATGGTATTTTTAGGAATTTTCCGGACGATTTTAGAATATGTATTATTATACATATATATTTTGATTTCTGGATCTTTGCAGGCAAAGCTTTGGTTTTTGATTGTTTTTGCGGAGACTATTGAGAGGCCCAACAAAAACTGTACTTTTTCATATTTGAACTTAAAAGTACAAAAAATTGCACATCTTTACATTTATGCTAATTCCGGAATTTAGGCAATTGAAAGGTATAAAAATTGCGAAATTGCGATTTGGAACAGCTAAACAGAGCATTCTTAGAGACTGTAAAAAGGTCGACTACCTAAGCACTTTGACACGGTTTTGTGCCCAAGATCCTGGCAAAAGTGCGCGCTTACGCACCGTTTTAGACCATCCGTTCCATTAACATTTATTTCAACTAGCCTCTACTCATTCTCTTTGAGGAAAACAATTTACAATGTTCGATAATCCTAATATTCGTTGGAATAACTTGACTAGAGAATTTACAATGTTCACTTACCTACTTAGCGCGGCTTTTAACGCCTAAGAGCTTGGCCGCATCGTCGGCTGAAGCATCGAGCACCTTATCGATAATGGACCGGTCGCCTAATCCTAAAAGATTGCTTATTAAATCGCCCTCGCCCTCCTGGGCATCGGATTCCTCGGCTTTTTGAGCAGCTGCAGCGTCGGGTTCCTCCTGAGCATTGTTTCCATCTTCGTCGCTATGCTCGAAATTGCTGTTAAGCGCGTGCTTTTTGCGATGGCGCAGCATGCTGTGCTTGAGGGTGAATCTGCGCCGGCAAATGTCGCAGCTGAATGGGCGTTCGCCCGTGTGGGTGCGCATATGTCTGCGCAGATCCTCGGCCGACCAGAACCGGCGCATGCACCATGCGCAAATCACTTTCCGGTTGGAATAGTCGGGAAACTTGCCCCTGATGTCGGTATCTTCATCGTCGTGATGCGGCACGTCGTCTGGCGTGGTGGCGCTTGCGTCCAACGCGTTCTTCGACATGAGCAGATCGTATTCGGAGGCATGTTTGTCGCGAATGTGGTCCAACGCTTGTTGCCGATCGGCAAATGAACTTTCGCACAAGTGGCATTTGAATGGCAAATCCGAGTTGGGCACCTGCGAGCCGGCAGATTGCGCATCTGCGCTCACTGCAAACTTGCTGAACGCAATCTGGTGCTCCCAGTCGTTCTTCGACTCCGACTGGTTGCCCTTCTCATCCTCCGAGCTTCCGGCCTCGTAGCCCTGGGCCTTGATGTCGTCCCCCTGCGCATTGGTCGCATGCTTGCAGCTGATGTGCTTCTTCAGGTTCGAGTAGGTGGAAAACGTGCTGCTGGGGCAGTTGGAGCACTTGAACGGCCGCTCGGGCACATTGCGCATCAAGTAGTTGACGCAGCTGCTGCTGGCAGCTTCGCTGGTTACGATTGTGGTCGCTGAGTTGCCGTGCTTGCGCAGCAAGTGTCGGTCACAGTTCGATTTGGTGGTGAACAGCAGAGGGCAGTGGCTGCACTTGAAGGGCTTCTGTCCCGTGTGGGTTAGGATGTGCCGGCGAAGCGACGACGTCCAGGGGAACTTTCGGTTGCAGTAGGGGCAGCTGACCCTGTTTGGGGCTAGGGAGTAGGCCGACTTCTTCTTGACGGGCGTGGTGCTGTTCACAGCTTCGGATTCTGATCTGGAAGGGAACACAACAATCACAGTCTAACCGGCGTTCAGACCGGAGCACTCACCTATTTTCATCTGTGCCCGATACGTTCTCCTCACTCGCGCTCCCACTGGCCACCAGGCCCTCCTCGTCGTCCTCGCTCACTGGCTCGTGCTCCTCACTCTCCCTCTTGAAGTACTCCTTGAACTGCTGCTGGGAGGCGTTGTCTAGGAGTCTGGAGACTGGCACCAGGTCCTCCTCGCTTTTGGCGCCGCGTTCTCCTCCAGCGTCCGCTCGCGGCTCCTCCGGCTTGCTCTCATACTCGTCAATGACCAAAGCGCAGTCCTCGTCGTCCTCCTTCTTCACGTCTGGGCTGCTGAATTGGCCGGCGCTGGCCTGCGCCAGCAGGGCGTAACGCAACTTCAAGTTCATCTGCTCCTTCTCGTCATACTCGCGCATTGCGGCGTCATAGCTGGGCATGTCAGCGTAGCTGGGCTTGAGCATGACGCCTTGAGGCTTCCTGCCCGGGTGCCCCACAGCCCCTCGTTGCCTCTGCGACCAAAACTGGGGATGTTGCTGCTTGATGTGGCGCTCCATGTTGGAGCGCAGCGTGAACTTAGCCGAGCAATGCTCGCAAGTGAAAGGCCGCTCAGTCCGGTACCTTCTCTGCTTCTGCTTGGGCATGAGCACTCCATTCTTAATGACCATTTTGACCGAGTTGGGCGACTGCATCATATCGGGCTTCAATCCAGGACTGTGCATTTTTGGCACGCTCTCATTCTCCACACTGATCGACAGCGGCTTCGCTGCATCCTCCACGTTAGAGAAACTGCTGGGTGTGGAAGATTTGGCCTCCAACTTCAGAATGGGGATGTCCAGGTGAGGCGGGTATGGTTTGTGGTTGAACTCCTCAGTGATCAAACCGCCTCCGCAGAGCTGAATCCGCTGTATGCGCTCTTTGATGTCTTGGGGCGTGTGCTGCAGGACAGGCAGCGATTGGAACAGTAGGGGATTGACTGGAAATGGCTGGAAGCCTGGAAAGCCATTCCTGTAGAGGTTGGCCAGCTGAGTGGCGTACAGCGCCACAGCATGATCGAATTTCGGATGCCCTTTGATTAGGTGCTGAGCAAACAGTTCGCCCATGTTGGGCATTGCTGGCGAAGGCGACCGCGCCTCCTCCAAGCGCTTCTGGTCCTCATCCAGCTTCTTCTTGCTCAAGTCGAGCGCGACGTCTGCAACGGGCGCCGCCTCCTCCTCCTCCTCCTCATAGTACTCCTCCTCATACTGATCGTACGAGCTACTGTTCTCTCGGAGCACCTCAAAGGGCTTCACCTGGATCTTGGACGATGCGCTTTCCGGCTGGCTGGGGATCTTGCTGAGGTCGAGCGGTTGAGCGAAAAAGGGCGGAACGCCGTTCAACCCATTCAGAGCCCCAAAGGTGGCGCCTCTATTGAAGTCAAACGTCTTAGTGGGCTTGAGGGCGTGCATGTCATGAACCAGGGTGGGGGTTGGAAACGTGACGTCGGTTTTCACTTTGGGCGGCATTTTGGGCGTGGAACAGTGCAGTTTTTCCGGGCTCAGATCTGTTGAAAGTAAAGCAGATTCAATGCGACTTGTCCACTAGATGGCTCTATTTGGGACTTTTCAAAAATCCCTGTAGGTAAAATACAGGGTGGCACCGCCTTATTCAAGACTTTATTTCGTTAGAAAACTAATCAACGTTTTAATTTTTTTTTGGCTGAAACTGATTGGTTTCCTCGTAGAATAAAGTCTCGATTATACAGGGTGATTCAAAGTTGGCGTCATTCCTCGGGAGGTGTTGTCTGGTGGTGTTATAGGAATACAGAAAAACTAGTAAAATAAATTAATTGTTATTAGAAACTGAGAAATTTGGAAAAAACTATATCAGAAATACGGCAGCAATGTCTTTCAAAGTAATCTGCCTAATTAACATTGCGCAAATACCTGTTGCTTCGTAATTAAAAGTCAGGTAACCATGGATAAATAGAGAGTGACAATAAGATAGACAAGGATAAACGGTAAATTCAACAGGGATCGTTGAATGACGGGACCTATTTCGAAATGTCAACCTGTTCTCATAAACTCGAATTCTGCGGAGCTTGGTGTTTACATAAATAATCCATACAACACCAAACATTTGAATGGTTAACTCCAAACAAGCTAGTGCCTGTGTAATCTCCTTATTATCCACTCT